ATACATATATCTTTTCCATGGTTTCCTCAGAAAACATGAAAAGCTTCCGTCTCCACTGCTTCTTGAACAACAAAACTCCAATACTACCGCAAAACCACATGTTATGTCTACATAAGACTCTTCAGCTTCTTTGTATTTCTTCTTGCATGTTGTTGTTGTTGTGTCTTACCAATTTGTGCAATTATTAAGCGACGGAGGTCCACATAGATCTTTGTTCCCTTCATATATTGATTGATCAATCAGGTTCCGTAGTTGCCTTCCTGTTGGTATTCGTCCCACACAAGTTGTTGTGTGACAAATTCAAATGACTCAAAAAGGTCAAAGCTACAATGCTTGGAGGGATCATCCCAATCAGTTCGTTTCTAGATAAATTAAGAGAAAATAAATTCATCATGTTTCTCGTGTTGTCTCATATATAGCCGCTCGGATGATTATTAGACAAATTGAGACCCACCAACTTGGAAAGTGCAGTTAACTAGAGTTAAGCTCGACCAGTATGTCTCCAACAAGTATATTGCTTGACAAGTCCATGTTATAAACCTTTCACCAAGTTTTTGTGTATTCGAGATCAACACCTTTCATGACCTGATCAACATTCACATCGTCGTCGAGAGAGTAACAATGTGGCCTGTTTCACAAATATAAACCATGGCTTTCAACTCTTACAGAAAAAATATGTTAGCCAATATATGTATGTATATATATATATATATATATATATATATAGAGAGAGAGAGAGAGAGAGAGAGAGAGAAAGAGAGAGAGACTTAGGTTATTTTATTTTTACTAAGTATTGTGTGCCCGAATGTACAGATCTGGACCAACGGATGAAATTAATCAATGGACATGATTTGAGAGTGTATGATATTACAATGGAGTAACATGTACCATATAATCACACAATTTTTAGCAAAAGGGTATTTTGGACAATTAGCTACATTTATAAAAGGAAAATTTCGGATTTTTAGGGATGATTAATTCTCCTAATTTAAAAAAAATCTGAATTTTTTAATTAATTCAATTTCAATTTTTACCGATTTTATTCTATCAGAATGTTTTTTGTTAGAATGATACTCTTTCCGATTTCTATTCTAATAGAATATTATTGAAGAAAAACAAAATTCTTGAATAAGATGTTGAAAAATAACAAACATTCTAATATACTTTTATACATCCGAACTTAAATATAAATTCATACATATTCTTACAAACTAAAAGTCTTATACATTTTAATATAATTATAAAATATTCTAAAAGAATATCAACAAAAATGAATAACATTCCTAAAAAATAACAACATTCTGCTAGAATACTCTCGTTCTCCATGTTTTCTTCTTGAATTCTTGAATTCTGAAACAATATTGTTGTTTTTGGATGTTGAATCCTGAAATTCTGAAAGAATATTGTTGTTTTTCTTCATTCTTTGAGAATGAAGTATCACATATCTTTTTTTCATAAGTTTCCTCATCATTCCTGCATCATCCTAACATACATTACATTCCAATAGAATATCTGAATCATGAATATTTGAAAGAAACGCATGTTCCTGCTTACATCACCACAAAAAAAACACACCAAAGGAAAAAATTGGGTTAATAGCTGATGACCACGGATCGACTTCTTATTCTTAAATCTTTAAAGGAAAAATCCATGAAAAAAGTGAAGAAAATTAAGAAAGAAATATACTTGGGGTTAAAGAACAAAAACTCAATGACACTTTGGGGCCATTCTCGAAGCTGTGAGGGAGGACAGAAGGAAAACAATTGAAATTGGAAGGATTTTGTTGTTGAATGATAGGATTCGTTGATACAGAGATGAAAATCTTTCTTCCAATTATCAACCACAAAACCCTACATATCTCAGTCAATTTCAATTCTACATGAATTCTATTTTTTTTATAACTCTAAAAACCGAATTTAATACAAAAAGTAATGAACACACCTTAGGATAGAGTACTGGAAATAGAAAGGGAACTCCCGTCTACTTTCTCCTTCCTCCTCTAAGTTGTCATCCAGAGTCGCCACTTTTCGCCGTCTCTACACCACCATCCGCACTAGAGGTAGTGTTATAGACAAATGATACAAAAGACTTTCTTCGTAATGTGGAATCTTCACCAATTGGAGTTCGCTTACATTATGAAGATAAGGGTTAGGGTTCAGTGGTCATTAGCCGATTGGTAAATTGAATATGAACAGAAAGGAAAAGTGAAAGAAGTCGTAAGAAACCCGTGGGATTCTTACTTCGTATCCTGTATTGACGACCGATTGAGGAGGATGAACACCAATGGCGGCTAAAGCCATTGGTGGCCGATTTGAGTTCGGGGAAAGTTAATACTCGAATAAGAGAAACTAGGTCAAATATATTGATTATATTTCCTTAATTGCAGGATTTTCAATTAAATGATCCCTTAATTAAAAAGTACAAAATATCCAGAATGCCCTTAAATGATTTATTTAATTGTTTATTATTTCTTGAATGCCCATTGGTGCATTTAAGCACACAATACTTGCTAAAAACATTTGAACCTAACTCTCTCTCTCTCTCTCTCTCTCTCTCTATATATATATATATATATATATATATATATATATATATATATATATATATATATATATATATATATATTAATTTTAAACCCCCTTAGGGAACAATAGTTGGATGTACTTGGATGTAATTATTTTTTTGGTATATTTGGTGTGTTTTGGTCCACAATAAATCTTTTGTGTTTTTTGACACAGTGGGTTACATGTGCTTTCAGGTCCAGGTTTACCATCTATGTGGTTGTGTTTTTTGTGTTCCACCATTTACTGGTCTGATAACATACACTCCACCGCCTCAATACCTGTGGAAGGGAGGAAATACTTCAGAATATGAAAGGTTTGATGCTAGCTATTATTTTTTTAAATCTGCTTGTTAGTGGGATTTGATCGATTTTTCATTCCGTTTGATACTTGACTTTGACATTACATTGGCGGTGCACAAATTTTGCTATCTGAAGCATTCTCAGTTTGTAGGTTCTTGTTTACAATTACACGGGTTAAATGCAATGAATAGCAACATGCTTTCATTGATTTGGGTATTATATAACTTCATACTTTGATTACAAAATTATACTTTGAAAAACCTACCCTTCTTAAAGTCAAATAATCAAAACTTCTTTTCCTGCAAGTTAGTTTCATAAACCCTAAAACAAAAAAAAAAAAAAAAAAATCAAGTTTATAACTTTGTGTTGACTTTAAAGTCTTTGAATGACAATTGAGGCCTAACAAATTTACATGCTGTGTGGGGATTAAAGAAAATAAGTTTGTAGATTTTAATCTTCCATTCATGACTTCCAAGTCTTAAAAAGATGCTTTCTATTTATACATCTTTTTAATCCTTTAGTAGATCAAATCAAATGATGATAAGATGCTATAATACAAACATAAACAAAATTTGAAAGTACAATGTGTAACTGACCCATCTGATCATTTCACTTTTAGCCAAGTCTCTAGATTCTATCGGTTAGACACTTTGAAAATGAATCTTACAAAACAGTAATGCATTTGACAGACTACATTTAAAAAAAAAGGTAAGATGGAAATTTGAATTTAAAGTTACATAATTTGATCGTATCAGCCCTGACACATCAACTTTGTTAATCATTTACAGAAATATATATATATATATATATATATATATATATATATATATATATATATACATAAATTATTTTTGATATCTCGAAAATGTAAATGCTTCTTTGTCGAATTCTGTGTTTTATTTGGTTTATATAATGTTTTTTAGAGTTGTGGTGAAATACATGTGTGTATGCAATGGGGAATAAACTTCACCATCAACGACTCAATTTGATCAAGAGAAAGAAAATTCAAAATTAGCCTGTAGTACCACAAAAATACAAGCCTGTAAGTGTGTCACACACATACATGTTAATATTGTGTTTAATAATTTAGAATATGAAAATTTAGACTTAAAATTATAGAACTTGGTCTTCTATTGAGCTGATAACATCAACCTTAGGCTCTTGCATATGGTGTGGGGACTAATAAAGGAAATATAAGATTGTGGACCTAAATTTCCATCGACTTACAAGGCTTTCAAGCTCTCTTTGTTTTTGTTGTTATATGACTGAATTACATTTTGTGTCCTTGTGTTTAGATATTTGTCCGGATCAGGTCCAAAAATAAATCTTTTTTGCATTTTCAGTTCTTATTGGAGTGGTTTATAACGCCTTTAGTCCTTATACCATCAACTTTAACAACACATTTGTTAAATTAAAAAAAAAAGACTAATTTGCCCTTACATAATATTTTTGAATTTGTATAGAAATCTTCTCTAGTGTCTTACCACCACCAGCTCTACCTTCATTATCCTCAACTTAAAACAAGGAATATAATTATTGGGTATCAAAATATACGGAAGGGCAAAATCGTCATTTTAGAGTGATTTTGGTTTAACTCATCACATAGATATAAAAAATCTGGATGGTGAAGATATGTTTGGGGATAATGACTTAGGAGGGTAACTACCTATTAGTGTTGTTCACATATTGGCAATTTGTTTTTTTTTTTGTACCTAATACACCAACTAACTTGTTTTAACCGTTTACATTATAACATTATTACCGGCTAACCTCCATTTTAACCAATAAATGCAATTAATTCATTTAAATGAAAAGGAAAATAAAATACGTGGCTTATGACGTGGCTATGTCACCCTTTGTCTGTATTCGACTTCATTTACATATATCGGTCTAATTTATTTAGGGTTCTTAATCTTAACAACTACTCCCAAATCATTCCCAAAATCGATCCCGGTTACTTAAGTTTTCTCAGAATTCAGTCGATCGAAGCAGTAGGAACTGAAGTTGGGACTTGAAATCGTCTAACGATACGTATCTCACTACAATGGAAGCATCTAACGGTAAGTATCTCACTATAGATTTTCACTTCAACGACATGTTTGCACCAAACTCGTTAGTGTAATTAGACCCTATGAGAATGTCAGTTCGTGATGTGGATTTTGGTGGCATGGACTATAGAGAATTTGTGTTGTGGGTTTCAAAGCTCACAAGACGAAGCTGTGAGAACTTGTATTATTGTAGTACTCATGAAAGATTGGCAGAGGGTATCAGAAGAATCGACAATGATGCAGACTATTTTGAGTTTATTGAAGATGGTTACATGGATAAGCAGGAGCTAAGTATGAATGTGTACATCGACAACGAAAACGAACCCATTCTTGACTGGGCCGATAAGGAGTTGTTAACAGGTGATAAGTTGTCTGATGTAATAGAAGATGATGATACAGAGTCACAAATTTCAGATATAAGGGAATGTGAGCATGAACCTGATGAAGAGGTGCATACATTTGACAAAACATATGATGATGAATTCTTGAACAAGTTGTGTGGTAAACCCATTCTCAATAGTAATCAAGAAGAAGTAAATGATGCTGATGATGATGAAGATAGGAATAAAGATGATGAGGTTGTGTTCCCTGTCTTTGATGAGAAGCAAGAATGGGATAAAATGGTCCCAGTTTTAGGTATGAAGTTTGCCAACCCTCTTGAATTAAAGCTTTATGTAACCAACTATGCTGTCAAGAATGGGTATGACTTATGGTTTGAAAAAAATGATCATCAAAAGCTGTTGGCAAAATGTTGTAAATATAAGAAGAACAAGAAGAGTAAGAGTTGTCCCTTTAGGTTGTGGGCAACCTGGATGAAGAATGAGAGGTCTTTTCAGATTAAGTCATTAATTGATAGGCATAATTGTGCAAGAGTTTTCAAATTTGGGTCCATTGTAAGCTACAAATAGATTGGAACTCATTTCATGAATGATATAATACAGAAACCAAAGATGAGCATTAGGAAATTGAAAGCTAAGGTCAGTAAAAGGTTTAACCTGATAGGTAGTGTTGGACAATGCAGAAATGCTAGGAAATATCCATTTCAGCAGATAGAAGGTACTTTAATAGAGCATTATGCTAAAACATGGAGTTATGGAGAAGAGCTAAAAAGGACAAATCCTGGATCAACAGTTAAGATGGAGATGGATGTGATGCCTGATGGAGAAACATACTTCTCAAAGTTTTATGTGTGTTTAAAGGGTTTGAAGGATGGATGGATAGAGGGTTGTAGGAGGGTAATTGGAGTAGATGGTTGTTTCTTAAAGGGCATATGCAGAGGTCAGTTGCTTGCAGCCATTGGGAGGGATGCAAACAACCACATATATCCTGTTGCATGGGCTGTGGTTGAAGTAGAAAATAAAGAATCATGGAAGTGGTTTCTTGATCTTCTAATTGATGACATTGGAATGGGAGTTGGGCATGGACTAACCATAATATCAGACTAACACAAAGTAATGTTCACACTTCAATTATTGTTATTTTCCATACTTATTGTCCATACTTATTTTACATACTTAATATGTTTTTGCTTATGCTGTTTATGTTTTGATTATAGGGATTAGTTGAAGTTGTGAAGGAAAGGGTTCCAGCTGCAGAGCATATGCAATGTGCTAGGCACATATGTGCTAGGCACATATGTGCTAATTTCCCAAATAGATTTAAGGGGTAAATGTTTAAGAAACTGTTTTGGAGAGCTGCTGGATCTACAGTTCCACAAAAATTTGAATACCATATGAATGAAATCAAGAAGCTGGAGCCACTAGCTTATGAACATTTGATGGAAAGGGACCCTAAAACATGGTGTAAAGCATTTTTTCAGGTTGATAGGAGTTGTGATGCATAAGAAAATGGTGTTTCTGAAAGTTTTAACTCTGTGATTGAAGCTGTTAGGAAGAAACCACTTATTACCATGTTAGAAGAAATCCGGATTTATGTAATGGAAAAGTTGTGTATATACAAGGCGAAGGGTCAATCTTGGGATTTAAGCATATGTCCTTCTATAAGGTTGAAGTTGAATAAGCACAAGGAAACACAAAGGTAAATTCTTATTGCTTATATGTTTGTCATTTTTAATATTTTCTAATTTGTATATGATTATGGATAGGTTTTGGCAAGTGGTACCTTCTGGGTATAACAATTTGAGGTGAGGGTGGGGACTGAAGGGTATGCTGTAGACCTGAATACTAGGCAATGTGGATGCAGGGCATGACAGTTAGCAGGGTATCCCTGTGTGCATGGATATGCTGCCGTTTCAAGCCTCAATAGGGACTCTGAGGAGTATGTGTCAGAATGGTTTACTACATCAATCTATGCAAGTTGTTATAGGTATAACATTAGGCCACTAAACTGTAGTGCTATGTGGCCTGAAGTGGATTACACCAAACCATTTCCTCCTAAAAAAAAGACTACCTGGAAGACCAACAATGAAAAGGAAAAGGGATCAGGTTGAGAGAGAAGCTAAGGGAACAAGGCATACAGTCTCAAAAAAGGGAATGATCATGAGATGTACCATTTGTAGGGAAAGAGGACATAACAGATCAACATGTCCTCAAAGACTAAATGATGTACCATCTACTTCAGGTTCTAACAAAAAGAAACCTAAGAAACAAGGTATGGTGTTAAATTATCTAATATATTATACTTGTGTGCCATTTCTGATTTTTTTTCCCTTTTACAGGTAAAGTAGACCTTGAAGCTGAATTGGAAGTGGAACATGTTGTCATGTTTGAAAGTGAAAGTGATAGTGACTTTAAAAGTGAAAGTGATGTGGAAGCTAATGTTCCTGAAGTTGATGTTCCTGAACCTGATGTGGAAGCTGAAGTTGATGTTCCTGAAGTTTATGTGGTACCTGAAGTTGAAGTTGATGTTCCTTTAGTCCAAGATAACCTTGTAGGGGAGATTCAAGATGACATTCAAGTTGATGCTAACATAGAAGATGAGATTCAAGCTAACATTGAAGTGGAACATGAAATTGAAGTTCAAGATAATGTGGAACATGAAATTCAACACAATGCAGAAAATCCAGATAGGAAGAGGACAAGAAAAACTTCAGAAAGACTCACAAAGATTCAGTTAAGGAAGAACATAAGGAGGAAGGAAGGAAGCAGTACTGACCACCCACTGGAGATTTGAATTCAATGTGTTGTTTTATTTTGCATGTTTTGGAATCTTGGGTCTTGTAATATCGTTTGGCACAATAGGACAATCTTGGCACATCTTTTGGAATGTTTGATACTTTAACATCTTGGGTCCTGTATGTTTGGGAATATTTTGGTACTTTAAGTACATGCTAATTTTAGTACATGTTTACCCTCCCAAGTCATTAGGGGTATATTGGTACTTTAAGTACATGTTAATTTAAGTACATGTTTAGCCTCCCAAGTCATTAGGGGTATTTTGGTACTTTAAGAACATGTTAATTTAATTACATGTTTACCCTCCCAAGTCATTAGGGGTATTTTGGTACTTTAAGTACATGTTAATTTAAGTACATGTTTACCCTCCCAAGTCATTATCCCCTGATTTGAGTACATGTTTATTTATGTGTTTGTATACATTACATGTTTACTGTCTTAATACATCAAACTCCCAAGTTACATATGTACTGTCTTAATACATGTTTATTTATGTGTTTGTATACATTACATGTTTACTATCTTAATACATCAAACTCCCAAGTTACATGTTTACTGTCTTAATACATGTTTATTTATGTGTTTGTATACATTACATGTTTACTGTCTTAATACATCAAGTATTAAACATCAAGCTTTAGTCATAACTTTCATTGCATACAAAACTTCATGAAGTACATGATTTAGTCAGAACACATCAAAGAAGAATACATCAAACAAGAGTACATCAAACAGGATACAAAGAACACATCAAACTTTAAAAAATACATGTTTAACATACAAGAAAAATAACACAAACAATGCAGCTTTATGAGTAAACAACTTCCACTTCACTTTGTCTAGTTCTTGTCTGAAAACTAAATTAGAGTTCTTCTCTTCTTCCAACTTCTTCCTGCAATAACTAATTTCGTTTTCTAGATTTCCAAGCTTGAATGTTAGGTTGTAGATTTGTCCCAAATCACTGTTCTTCTGTTATTGGTACTCATCGTCTTCCAACCATTCCCAGAAATTACATCATGGAGTTCTTGCCACGTATATAATAAGTGAGGTGTAAATAGACACGTAACATGCCACGTATAATCTTCTGGAGCCACGTATTTTCTTTTCCTTTTCATTTAAATGAATTAATTGCATGAAGAAGTTAGAATCTATCGATTTTTCAGGAAACAAGTTAACTAGGGTGGTCCCTCCAAGCATGGCAGAATTTGTCACACAACAACCTGTCTGGAACTCCATTGCCTACCAATTGCTGAAAACCCGGAGAAGTCACAACAACAACCATAGAAAAGAAACAAAGAGCAAGTGATAAGCAAACCAATGTATGGTATTAAGGACCAATGATAATTAAATCTATATGATTTAATTTACCATCTTTATATTATTATTTTAGTAAATACAACTGTAAATTATTCAATACTTACCTAGTTTACCTCCTTCTCAATTGTATACATCGGCTATATTGCCTTCCCCTGTACATTGATTTTATAAATGAAAAACACACTTTTCACAGCAACCCTAAATACTTCATAAGGTACCAGAGCCCTAATTACTCTAAAGAGTCGATCCTATATCTATTCCTTCTTCTTTCTTTCCTTGCCATTCACAATGACAAAGGCCATAATCCAAGTCACAACAGTGACCCATTTTCCGATCAAACTCACCACCAATAACTTTCCTGTCTGGCGCCGTCAAGTTGAATCCACCCTAATAGGGATTAAACTTGACACTTTCATCACTGGCGATCAACAGCCGCCCAAGCGCTTTCTAGATGATAAAGACTGATCCAAACCAAACCTAGAGTATCTTTCCTGGTACCACAAAGATCAAACTATTATTAGTGCAATCCTTGGCTGCTATTCTGATTGCATTCAACCCTTGATCTCGTCTGCCACTACCTCACGAGAGGCCTGGAATCGTCTAAAATCTAGCTTTGCCAGTGCTTCTCGATCTCGCGTTATCTCCCTCAAATCCAAACTTGTCAAAAACCCAAAGGGTGCTCGCTTAATAGCCGAATATCTCCAAGACATGTTCGCTATTGTTGATGATCTTGCACTTGCACAAAGTCCTATCTCTGAAGAAGACCTGCTTGTTCATATTTTATCCCAACTCGGTGATGAATATGGAACCATTGTTGATGCCATTAAAGTCCGTGAAACACCCCTCTCCTACTCAGAACTATTCGACAAATTGAGTGATTTTGAACGTTCCCTCAAGGATAACACAACCTCTTTTGCTCCGGTCATCACCACAGTTGACTACGCCAATGGACAACAGAATCGGTCACAAGGAAAATCTGATGGTTCCTACTCTCAACGTGCATCTACCAATCGCCATTCAAGCCAGCAATGCAACTTCACCAATCGACACAACTGGTATTCTTCAAATTCAGGAAGTAATCGAAATCACAAGCCCAACACCTTTTGTCAATACTGCAATATCCAAGGACACATCACTCGTGACTGCCAGAAGCTATCTCGTTTCTTGCGAGAAAACAATGTTACTTTCAACAATAATCAATCATCTACTCCAATTGCCAATGTCACAATGTTAGGTCCCTCTTGTGTGTCTCCATCTTGGATGTTTGACAGTGGAGCCTCCAATCATGTCACAAGTGACCGATCCACTCTTTACAATGTGTCTGACTATGGTGGACCAGATGAAGTAGTTCTTGGGAATGGTAACACCTTGCAAATCTATCATGTTGGCTCTAAACGCATTCACACACCACTTAAAACTTTAGAATTACCTAATGTGTTACGTGTTCCACAATTGAAAAAGAATATTATTTATGTGGAAAAGTTATGCAAGACTAACCGGGCGTCTGTTGAATTTTTTGCACGTTTCTTTATTGTGAAGGATCTTCGCACAGGGTTGCTTCTCATGCGGAGGGAGAACCATGAAGATGTCTACTATGCCAACCTACCACCTTATCTGCAACTGAATTTCACCATTAAAGCATCCCCAAGTCAATGGCATCACACCTTAGGTCATCCGTCCTCCAAAGTTTTCCGGTGTCTGCTCTCCAAATTAGGCCTTAGCTCTAAACTGTCTGATATGCATTGTTCATCTTGTTCAGTCAATAAAAGTCACAAACTACATTTTGGATATAATTCCTTTGTTGTCTCAAAACCATTGCAATTACTTTACTCTGATGTGTGAGGACCAGTTCAAAACCCCATTGATAAATTTACCTACTATGTGATTTTTGTGGGTTATTTCACAAAATATGTATGGTTTTATCCTATGAAAAAGAAATCTGAAGTTGCCACCATTTTTCCTCAATTCAAACTTTTGGTTGAAAAATTCTTTTAGACACCCATCGTATCCTTCTTTACTGAAAATGGTGGTGAATACATTGGTCTATCACCCTTCCTCAAAACTCATGGCATCTCTCATTATACAACCCCACCTCATACACATGAACAAAATGGTGTGGCTGAAAGGCGACACAGACATATAGTCGAAACAGGCCTTGCCCTCCTTCACTATGCCGAACTTCCTTTAACCTTCTGGTTACATGCATTTGAGACAATGGTCTATTTAATCAACCAGCTTCCCACACCAATCCTCCATAATCAAACCCCATACTAGCATCTATTTGGTCAATCACCCAGTTAAAACAAACTCAAACCTTTCGGGTGTCTATGCTAGCCTTGATTACGCCCGTATACTGTCTCCAAACTCCAACCACGATCCACTCCCTGTCTTTTCCTTGGTTATTCAACCTCTAAATCAACATATAAATGCTATGACCCCCTCACCCACTGGTTGTATGACTCACGACATGTCCAGTTCATTGAGAATCAATTCCCCTCCCTATCTACATCCCATGATCCCTTACCTACACCTGACACATACTAGCATCTATTTGGTCAATCACCCAGTTAAAACAAACTCAAACCTTTCGGGTGTCTATGCTAGCCTTGATTACGCCCGTATACTGTCTCCAAACTCCAACCACGATCCACTCCCTGTCTTTTCCTTGGTTATTCAACCTCTAAATCAACATATAAATGCTATGACCCCCTCACCCACTGGTTGTATCACTCACGACATGTCCAGTTCATTGAGAATCAATTCCCCTCCCTATCTACATCCCATGATCCCTTACCTACACCTGACACATTCGTCACATCAGCACAATCAACCCCACCACCATCCTCCTATACTACTTTACCACCTGCACCTGATCTAAATCTTACCAATCCTGTCACCTATACCACCAATACATCCTCAACAACAACCACCGAAAACACCAACCCTATCTCTGATCCTTCACCTACATAACAGTCCTCCACACCACATTGTCCCTGTACCTCCTACCCCCTGATCTACTCCAGGCGTACTAATAACACGTCATCCCTGTCATCCCCTATTGCTGTTGGACAACCGTCCTCACCCCTTTCCCCTCCATCACCAACCTCCGACCACCCACCCCAGTCATCTCACCTGATACAACTCCTGATACCCTCTCCACTAATACTTCTATACCCCCATCACCTCCCCATACTATGCGCCCACGCAAGAAAAATCCAAAATATTTCAACCCTTCATTCATCAGTGCTACAACACTTCATCTAATTCCCGACACCACTGAACCTCATACACACAACTAAGCTCTCAAAGACCCTAACTGGCTTCATGCCATGGATCAAGAATTTAATGCCCTCATGCAAAATGGCACTTGGGAATTAGTACCACGGGGCAATCACAATCCGATTGGTTGTAAATGGGTCTTTCGAGTCAAATGCAAACCTGATGGTACAATCTCAAAATATAAAGCCTGTTTAGTTGCCAAAGGTTTTCTTCAACAACATGGGAAAGATTACTTTGACACCTTCAGCCCTGTAGCCAAACCGGTTTCAATTCGTGTCATCATATCCCTAGCTCTCTCTCACAATTGGGCCTTCCGTCAATTAGACGTGACCAATGCGTTTCTACACGGTACACTCCATGAAGAAGTTTATATGACCCAACCTCTAGGCTTTACTCGCCCTC